CTGAGGAGAGATGGGCTAGACCAGATATCAAATTCATTAAGTTGAATGTGGACGCAGCCTACTATATAGATGAAGGTGTGGGCGCGACGGCTGCAATGATTAGGGATGAGAAGGGCATTTTCTTGGCGGCACAATGCATCTTCATTCCCCATGCAGCTAGCGCAGTCTCCACCGAGGCAAGGGCAATGAGAGATGGTCTGGCGTTTGCAAATTCCTTGGGCTTTCCTCGGGTTGAAACAGAATCGGATTCCTCAACCGTGATTGAATCATGTACGGGTCAAACGATATGGTGGGATGAAGCAGCAGCAACTTTCGCCGAGTGTGTGGATCTATTTTCGTTGATCGGGAAGGTCAATTTTAAACATTGTTCACGCTCTTGTAGCCAAGCAGCGCATGTGCTAGCTAAGTTTAGTTATTGTATAATAAGTTTTTTTTCTAGTTGGACGGACGAGCCTCGTTTCCGCATTTGTGAATGATGTTATTCCTTCTTTTATTCAATAAAGCTACCCATGATAGCTTTCTCTAAAAAAAATCGACTGACAAATAGCGTACGCGCAAAAAAAAAAGTTCGAACCTGCAGCTGGTGGCGTTGCTTCCCCTTTGCCGCCGTAGCGCCGGCCATGCTCACGGTGTCTCTCCTAGACGCGCAACTCGCTCGGTGCTCCTCCGCGCGCCATCTCCTCCAGATTCACGGCCAGTTCATCGCCTCCGGCCTCCTCGCCGATGCCTTCGCCGCCAGCCGCCTCCTCCTCTTCACCTCCGCCACCCGCCTCCTCCCGCTCCCCATCCACCATTCGTTCCGCCTCCTCCGACTCGTCCGCTGTCCCAACGCCTTCTCCTGCAACACGCTCCTCAAGGCGGCCCTGCTCGCCGGGACGCCGCACGTCTGCCTACCACTCTACACCTCCCTGCCAACGTCCCCCGACTCCTACACCCACCCCATCCTCGCCGCCGCCTGCGCCGCCAGGAGGGACGTGAATGAAGGCAGGCAGGTGCACTCACACGCTATCAAGCACGGGTTCGGTGATGATTTGTACCTCAGGAACGGCCTGATGCATATGTACTCTGTTTGCGGCTGCCTCTGGGACGCACGCAGGGTGTTTGACGCAGGTCCCGTGTGGGACGCTGTTTCGTGGAACACCATCCTGGCTGCGTACGTGCATGCTGGGGATGTCGATCAGGCGGTTGGGGTGTTCGCACGGATGCCAAAGCGGAATGCCACAGCGGTGAGCTCCATGGTGTCATTGTTTGGGAGGAGGGGTATGGTGGACGAGGCAAGAGGGGTGTTTGACGAGGCCGATTGCAGGGATATTTTCACGTGGACTGCCATGATTTCTTGCTTTGAGCGGAACAGCATGTTTGCAGAGGCGTTGCACATGTTCTCCTGCATGCGTCGAGAGATGTGGCCTGTGGACGAGGCGCTGATGGTCAGCGTGGTGTCCGCTTGTGCACAGTCGGAGGTGATTCGAAATGGGGAACTATGCCATGGACTGGTTATCAGGGCTGGCCTTTGTTCGCTGCTAAATATTCAGAATGTGCTGATCCACATGTACTCATGTTGCCTGGATGTTGTTGCAGCATGGAGGTTGTTTGACAGCGGTGACTGCTTGGACCAGTTCTCCTGGAACTCAATGATAGCAGGCTATCTAAAGAATGGTCATGTCGAAAATGCAATGACATTGTTCAATGCAATGTCTGACAAGGACAATGTTTCTTGGAGTACAATGATTTCTGGTTGTGTGCAGAATAACCAATCGTCAGATGCACTCGCTGTCTTCGATAACATGCGAGCCCAGGGAGTCAGGCCGGATGAGGTTACTGTTGTTAGTGTTATATCTGCATGCACTAATCTGTCTGCTCTGGAGAAAGGAAAGTCGGTGCATGATTATGTAAGGCAAAACAAATGTTACATCAGTCTTGTACTTGGGACTAGCCTCATTGACATGTACATGAAGTGTGGATACTTGGAAGCTGCAATGGATGTTTTCAACATAATGGAAGAAAAAGGAGCACCTTGCTGGAATGCTGTAATTGTGGGGTTGGCGATGAACGGCCTTGTGACAAAATCCCTTGAGATGTTCTCAGAGATGGAAGCATCCGGCACTGCCATCCCGAATGAGATAACTTTCATCGGAGTTTTGAGTGCTTGCAGACATGCTGGCCTAGTTGAGGAGGGCCGCCACTTCTTCAAGTTGATGCAGCACAAGTACCGAATTGTGCCAAACATCAGACACTATGGATGCATGGTTGATCTTCTTGGACGTGCTGGATATGTTAAGGAGGCTGAGGATCTGATTGAGAGCATGCCCATGTTACCTGATGTTCCAGCATGGGGTGCATTGCTTAGTGCCTGCTGGAAGCATGGTGAAAATGAGGTTGGAGAAAGGGTGGGCAGGAAGCTTGTCAATCTGGATCCTCGCCATGACGGATTTCACACTATGTTATCTAACATATATGCTAAAGAGGGGATGTGGCAATCAGTAAATGACCTAAGGGACTCCATGAAGCAACGACATGTCTCAAAAGTTTCAGGATATAGTGTCGTTGAAATGTCTCATTCTTGAGATTCTAGCAGTTGATCGCACCTCAGATGAAAATCTTAGATAGGTCCAAGTTGAAGCCTTACAAGGTCATGAATGGATCTTTACTTATCTGCGATTTGTGCTTCTGACTTTCTATCATCGTGTGTATTTTGATAAGCCTGTTGTTCACTTCATGTTTCCTCTATCTATGCTTGCAGATTCAAATAAAAAATTCACATGGCATCAGCGACCAAATTATTTATCTTTTAAACTTTTACCAGAGTCAGGCAGAACTTCCTTTCTTTCCTTATTTCTTTCCATGATATCCATCCATCTGGAATACTGAACAGGGAACAACACACGCCATGGTCAGGGTTCCCTTATTTTTTATTTTTTGTTAGTCGTGTACCATGGTGCAAGCAAATGAATATCTTTCTCAAATGTCAAATGCAATGCTAAACTTACCAGGGTAAGTATAAAAAGAAGATATAACCGGGATCATGATGATGGAAAAAGAAAGGAAGAGCAAGGGTAAATTAACTATGGGGTGGAAAGGTGATACAGAAAAAAGGCTTGTAATTCTTTTATCGTCTGAACAACATGTATTGGAAATGCTCAGAAAAAGATTTGTGGGTATTTTTTTCTTCATATAAAGGCCATATCTAGGCTAATTCCTTTCCAAGCTACACATATGTTTATTAGGAAAATATGTTTTCTTCACCATGTTCAGAATTGTTACGAAAATGTGATACCATACTGAACATATCTTATTTGTGTTAGAGGAATACAATTCCATTTGGTACCAAGAATATTTGATTAGGAAGGGAGGCAGAATAAAAGTTATTGGGTATGCAGGTTCTAGTGGTTCTAGTTGAGGTTTACTAATTTCACATAGCTATGGTTACTAATTTCACATAACTATGGTTAATTTAATAAAGTAATTTCTTAGAACCTTGTAGTTGTAAAGGGAAATGAATTAGAGTCTTATTGACTGATAAAACAAATGTGAGAAGACAATTCACATGTATTGACTTAAAAATTTCTCATATGCTTGTTGCGAGATCATGTGAGTTGCGAGATCCACCTAGACAGAGTCACATTGGACCTACTAAATTATAATTGTAAGACTTGAGGGGACATCAATAAATGGACTAAGTGACCGATCTTTTTACTGTTGGGGGTTTCCCTACAGTTTTCTGGTGAAAAAGTGGACTGACTGGTCTGCTTTTAAACCAACTGAAAATATTGCTGGATACCCACTGTGAGTTCCTGGCACATTACTAGAAAATACGGAACAATTCTGTTTTTTCATATGAGAAGAGATATTATGAAGTAAGCATCACAGTCGAGCATGATTTTTCTTTACTTTGATCAAGTCCTAGGCTCCCAGGTAGTTAGTTACCGTCAGTCTATACTAAAGGGAAAAGAATAAGTCTCTTTGACCGATATAAACAAATGGGGATAGTACTATTCATGTTTGTTGGCTTCACAAAAATATCACATGCTTGTTACAAGAACTAACATGAACCATGGAAATTGTGAGATCCACACTCACAGTAGACCTGTCTCGAGGGGATATCTGTGCACGACTAAGTATTTTTGTTTATGAAAAGGAGGGCAGGCCCCCAGCCTCTCCGTCGATCGATGCAATCTGTACATGACCAGCTGACCGGTCAAATTTAGCCGGAAGTGCCGCTGGATATCGACTGACGGTTCCTTTTACGTGGCTAGCTTTTTAAGATGAGAAGAGAAAATATGAAACAAGCTTCACATTTCAGCATTTTTTTTGTTTGCTTTGTTGAAGTTCTGGCTAATCAAGGTAATATATGCTAATGGGAAAAATAGTTTCATTGAACAATAACAGAACAAATGTTTGAAGATGAGGATCGTTTGAGTGGGAGAAATTGCATTATGATGACAGATCTATTTACACGGCCAAAATAATATCATTATGATGCTGATCCACGTGTATGGTGCAAGTCAACTCTGCCTGCCAGACGTAGAGATCTAAGCCGAAAAATTGGACGATATTCAGTGCCTTGGAAATACATATAAAAAATCTCCAACTTGGAGAAATAGAAAACAAGATCTTAGTTGATGCGATGCATGGATATGCTGGCAATGGCATCAAAGAATCTTGAAAGGGTGTCACAAAACAGGACACTATATCATGGCATGCAATCCATCGCTTTCGGCCAGCCACGCGGCTTTGAAGCCACAACTGCTCACAAAGGGAAAATTCAATAATGCGTTGCCCTCCACAATCCAGACGGTAAGAAATTACCACTGCAGTCTTGTTTCAATTATTTCATGAGTCCTCTAGTCCATTGAATGTGAATATTGTTTCTCTTGACATGATGATTTTTTTTTGTATACCTCTGAAGATGACAATTATATATTTACATTCGTTCAGGGACAGAACTTTTTTTCTGATCAACAAGAGATGGAGGAGACAACAAATACAAGAATCTATACATAATGGACGCAGAAGCCGGGGAGAACGCTGGTGAAGCGGAACAGATAACAGATGGCGATTGGACTGGCACACACACACTGCCAATGATCTCGGAACAGAGACTGGATCGTGTGTTCTCATCAAACCATGACAGGCCTGCAGATGCGCCGGAGCGCGACCATGGCCTAGACCCCGGGTACTTCGTTGTTACGTACTTGGTAAACACAATCGACCGCTCTGTGGTGAGGGTAATCCAGAGTGGGTATGATTTCTCCAGGCACGTGAACCATCCAGTCTTCAGTCCAGATGGGCAGAGCATCGCGGTGACATCGGACCTTGCTGCGGTGTCCACTAACCCAATGTCGCCTCCAATCTTCTTGCACTCGGTGAGGCCCTATTGTGACATCTTCACCGTTGATATCGACCCTGACGACATGGAGGAGAACCAGGATGTGGAGAAGTTTGCCCGTGTCACGCATAACAGATACGAGAACTCCACTCCTGCCTGGTCCGTGTTCTCGACTCATGACCCGCATGCACAGTGGAACCTCCTTGTCATGGAGGAAAGTTACACCCCGTCGTGTCCGTATGCAAATTGA